TGGTTGTATAATCTCAGGAAGACCAAAGGGAAGTCTCCTAAGTTGTCTTCTCCATGGGAAGGCCCATATGACATAGTGGATCGTCTCTCACACGTGACTTTCCGGGTAAAATGTGGTCGGCGAGGTAAGCCAAAAGTGGTGCATGGCAACAGGCTTTGGCGTTATCACGGTCCAGGACATTTCAGTTGGGACGAAGTGGACTACAGAATAAATGACGCTGCTGAAGACGTGCCACCTGAAGAAGCCACCGTCGAAGAAGAAACTTTACTCAGCTTTGAGAAGGGAAACGGTGAAGCTCTTGATGAAGTTACTACCACTGATGTGACTGTTATCGACGATAGAACATTTCCTGATGAAGCAGATGAACCCCATATGAAACAGAAGCCAACGAGACGGAGACCAGTACGGAAGAAGATGCGTCCCGTAAAATTAAGAGACTTTGTTGAATTATAATTCTGTGGTTGTTTGTTTTAGAACAATGTCACATTGTGCTACCTGAGTAGAATGGAACTCTGGCTTTTAGCATTGTAAGTTTGTAAACATACCACTGCATTGTCATTATCAGCGGAATTATCATTAATGCCATGATCGAGTGTTGAGGAGTTAATGTGACAGGAATGATGAATTAAATGGTAGGGAACAAATAGTATTCCTAAAGGAATGTATAAAGACATTGTTAAAATCAGGTATGATGCAAGTGTGGCTGGACATTTAGGCGTAGTTAAAACACCAGACAGGATTTGCAAAAACTACTACTGTTCGGGTATGTTTGAAGATATTGAAACGTGAGTTAGCTGGCAAGAGGGAGATGAAAGTAAAAAGCCAGTTACTAGTGAGCCTTTTAGTTTATTTAGTGCCAATATTATCGGACTACTTCTGGTAACAGAGGTTTAACTATATTCTGACAGTGGTTGATTCTTCTACCAGATATGTAGAAGTAGAAGCATGAAATTTTATGGAAGCAGAAAAAACAGCGCAAAAGCTACTAATGATAGTCTTATGGGTCGATCTTCCTGAGGCATTATGGGAATATTCTTTCTATGTTTGCAAAAATAGTAGCCCCACTCACATCATTTAACTTTAAATAATGACCAACACATGTCGGTGAGAACACTTTTAGGGAATTAAATGAGGTACCGTGTAAAATGCAACTTTTACATAGCTATAGGAATATACTATAGCCACCGTTGTGCAAACTGATGCAGCTATTGGGGAGTGCTGTTTCAAGTAGCAAATAATGGTATGGAACTTTCACAGGCATATTTAAGCCACAAATTACAAGCACGTGAGAAAGCTTTAGCCATTACTGAAAATGAGCACTTGGCATTTAGGTGGGGGGGGGGGTGAAAAAATTAAGACCTTCTCTCTTAGTTATAGAGAAAACTCTGTGCATCCAGCTTTAACCTGGAACGAAAACAGAAAAGTACTTAAATGGAATCTATTACTAAATAAGTTTAATCTTACAGTATGTTATAGATGAGCGAGCGGGCATCAAAATATGGACACCCTCATGCACATGAATTATTAAATTACAAGAGCCATCTCCTGACCATGAAATTTCATTAACACAAATATTGTGCATCTTAAAGTCTTAGCTTCTGATACAAGCACAGTTGTAGAGATTACAACCACGCTATACAACCATGTCAACTGAGTTTGATTAGTGGAAAGAGAGGGACAAGCGAA